TGCAGGGATAGGCTGTGCACTCAAGGCAGTCTGAGGTCCTCGGACACTTGAGGCACGACACTATCTTGTACAAGTCGAAGGTGTAGGTGAACTCAGATGGGAGTGACAGAGTTACCAGTTCTTGTCCGCTTGGTACGCTACTGGAAAGCATTGGTCTGTAAGACTTAATCCCGTAAACATCATACCTGCACCAGTATACAGATTTCTGATCCAAGCTGTAACCCCAGAATGGAACGATCACGTCGTCAATTGGGCATGCCATCGTAAACGGGTCGAGCACAATGCGTATGTCTCGCATGGAAGCAAATCCCATAAAGTCACCAGGGAAAGTAATCTGTCGACACAAGAAAACAGCAGTAAACGTCCTCTTTCTTGATAGTAAAGGGTGAGCGAAGTCTGACCTCGACTCGCAAAAGGAATCCCGCTACTCCACAAGGAGGTTACAGTAAGTTGGTTCAACGAGAGATACGTCGTACTGCTTCCTCTTTAAACAAGCTAGACCGATGATATTAGAATGAGCACCAAGTCATGAACAACATAACCGCATTATGACAGAAGCTTTTACAAAGGACCATCGTTTCGTTTAGGAATTATAATCAAACGAAATGTGGTTGTCATCGGAGAAGGCATTTTCGACTTCCATACCCAAATTCCTCTACGTCAAACTGTGAAACAACATCAACACAGGTTGTCCATTCCTCAAGGCACGCTAAGGCTTCATAGAATTATGGACTGGGATTTACTCGTTACACCCTACTACTGTCACGACTGACAGTATACATTGGGCGCTCGGGATTCCCCCGAATTGGAAGAATGAGCCTGTTCTGGTTAGTTTGTGAACCACAACGACTCCTGTTTCCTCTCCTGGCTCGCGGTTGGAACGGCCACGAAAGATCTAGATACTGCAGTTTGTAGAGAGCATGCACTCAATTGTCATGTCATGAATCTAGATAAATACAGTAGGAAACTAACTGGTACTCATCATCATACACGCTCCATAGGGACTTCATACAATTAATAGCAATCTGTCACACGGTAACCACAATTGTAGCAAGTTCTTTGACTGGGATACGTACATACACGGGGTGCGAACGGGAATATGGCGCTTAACCTTGCTTGGTTGAGTGGCCGAGTGATTAGGTTGGGAGTTTTGGTATATTCGTCCGAATATGTAAACATGTCAATAAGCAAGAACCTCATTGAAATTAAAGGCCTGTCTAAATTTTTCTCTTTTACGTTTAAGATATATTTTTTGATTAATGTTAATGGTATAATTTTAAATTTTTCATCAAAAAGAATCTAGAAAAAACGACCTAACCTTATTGTAACTAGAACAATTTATGTTAGCCTAACCCAACTAAATATATTTTAGTTTTTTACAATAATGTTAATACAAACAAATACTTGAAAATATAATTTGTTTTGTTAGGTTCAGAATGATTTTGGGGAGATTAAGTGCCATACACAAATGTCGCCATTGTCCAATAGGGCAAGATGTGCGTTGCTATTTAAGCCTAGATCGCAAAGTTCTGCCTATTCCACGACATTATATATAATAGATATATTAATTTATAATATATATATAATATATATAGTTAGATATATATAATATATATATAAAAGAAAAAAAATTGAGTGAGTTAAACAAGTGAAGAAAGCCTAACCACGAATGATTTGTCATTTTTTAAAACAGAGTAATTAAGTAGATGAATGGATTTTGGGTACTGGCGAGAATAGTGTTTTGAGGAACTTTTAAATGTCGACGAAGAAAGAGCGTAATTTCATTCACTGCCAGAGAATACCATCTTTTAGAGTGAAAAAACGGAAGTGAGTGTGGGAGTGCGTGAGGCATTACAAGAATGAAAAATTAAGCAGCGGAACTGACGGGATCATACAAAATGTTAAAAAGCAGATGGGGATATATTGTGGAGTGATTGGTATTTTTGTTATAATGAATGGAAGAGGAAGGACCTAGGATTGGCGAGAGCATGTTATAGTCCCTTTTATATAAAGGAAGGGACAAAAGAATTTGTAAAAATTATAGAGAATTAAGTTAAAGTTTTCTAAATAACCAGGAAAAGTGTACGGTAAGGGTAAATTGAAAGAATTAGATAAGACAGAATGTAGGATTGCGGATGAGCAAGGAGCGTCAGAGTGGTTAGGGAGGTGTAGACCAATGTTTACTTGAACATATATGTAACAGTATTTAGATAAAGGTAGGAAGTTTTTATTGCATTTATGGATTTAGAAAAGGCATGTGATAGAGTGGATAGGGGAGCAATGTGGCAGATGTTGCAAGTATATGGAATAGGTGGTAAGTTACTAAATACTGTAAAGAGTTTTTATGAGGATAGTGAGGCTCAGGTTAGGGTGTGTAGAAGAGAGGGAGACTACTTCCCAGTAAAAGTATGTCTTAGACAGGGATGTGTAATGTCACCATGGTTGTTTAATATATTTATATATAGGATTGTAAAAGAAGTAAATGCTAGGGTGTTCGGGAGAGGGTTGGGATTAAATTATGGGGAATCAAATACAAAATGGGAATTGACACAGTTGCTTTTTGCTGATGATACTGTGCTTATGGAAGATTCTAAAGAAAAATTGCAAAAGTTAGTGGACGAATTTAGGAGTGTGTGTAAAGGTAGAAAGTTGAAAGTGAACATAGAAAAGAGTAAAGTGATGAGGGTATCAAATGATTTAGATAAAGAAAAACTGGACATCAAATTGGGGAGGGGGAGTATGGAAAAAGTGAATGTTTTCAGATACTGGGAGTTGACGTGTCGGCGGATGGATTTATGAAGGATGTGGTTAATCATAGAATTGATGAGGGAAAAAAGGTGAGTGGTGTGTTGAGGTATATGTGGAGACCAAAAACGTTATCTATGGAGGCAAAGAAGGGAATGTATGAAAGTATAGTAGTACCAACACTCTTATATGGGTGTAAAGCTTGGATTGTGAATGCAGCAGCGAGGAGGCGGTTGGAGGCAGTGATATCCTCTCTATGGGCAATGTGTGGTGTAAATATTATGCAGAAAATTCGGAGTGTGGAAATTAGGAGAAGGTGTGGAGTTAATAAAAGTATTAGTCAGAGTGCTGAAGAGGGATTGTTGAGGTGGTTTAGTCATTTAGAGAGAATGGATCAAAGTAGAATGACATGGAGAGCGTTTAAATCTGTAGGGGAAGGAAGGCGGGGTAGAGGTCGTCCTCGAAAAGGTTGGAAGGGGTAAGGGAGGTTTTGTGGGCGAGGGGCTTGGACTTCCAGCAGGCGTGCATGATCGTGTTCGATAGGAGTGAATGGAGAAGAATGGTATTTGGGACCTGACGATCTGTTGGAGTGAGAGCAGAGTAATATTTAGTGAAAGGATTCAGGGAAACCGGTTATTTTTATATAGCCGGACTTGAGTCCTGGAAATGGGAAGTACAATGCCTGCACTCTAAAGGAAGGGTTCGGGATATTAGCAGTTTGGAGGGATATGTTGTGTATATTTATATGTATATGCTTCTAAACTGTTGTGTTCTGAGCACCTCTGCAAAAACAGTGATTATGTGTGAGTGAGGTGAAAGTGTTGAATGATGATGAAAGTATTTTCTTTTTGGGGATTTTCTTTTTGGGTCACCCTGCCTCGGGGAGACGGCCGGCTTGTTAATATATATATATATATATATATATATATATATAATATATATATATATATATATATAATATATATATATATATATATATATATATATATAATATATATATATATATATATATATATATCTTGGTTGCACAAAAATACTTGAAAATAAGTAAGACTATACATATATACGAGTACTTTGATATCTATATAAGGACAAGCTTGAAATATAAGAGTACTTCTGCAAGATGCACAAGTGGCATTTAATAGAGGAATTCAAGATTATATTTAGGATGTCTAATCAGCCGGTGAGTTGGGAGTTGAAGTCGTTATTTAATTATCATCTTAAATGTAACATTGACTGACTTTACCTGGATTACCTTTACACTTTTGTTGCAGTGTAAATAGTAGGTTTTATTGACATATGGGTCAAGAAACAGGTCGTTAATATTTGATAAATCACTCTCCATAATTACATGCTCACTGTTTGGCCCGTTGAACTCAAATAAAATCCAGGTAAGAGAGCATTTGCTGCCACATATGAGCAGGTACACTCGAAGAATGGCATTAGCATTTTCAAAGAAACTATTATCGGAAAAAGCATTCTATATTGAACAACTGTTTCTCGTAGAAGCTGCCTGCACAGAACGAATTCAGTAACTTACGTGTGTCTGAACGTCCCTTGACGCCTGAGGTCCCTCATACTTTGATGCACAAGAGTGTTACCAAAAATTCTTACCTCCCGCTCGGAAATGTTGCGATAGAAAAAGCAACGACAGTGATCTTATCTGCTCATCACATTTCTGAGCAGTGTCACCAAGGTGGCAGTGTCACCAAGGTGGCACTGTCACCAAGGTGGCACTGTCACCAAGGTGGCACTGTCACCAAGGTGGCACTGTCACCAAGGTGGCACTGTCACCAAGGTGCATTCCCAAAAATGGTGCAATCAAACCCTAATCTTAGCATGTCAGTTACATGGATCTGATACTGTTCGAAAATGAGTCATTGATGAAAATCTCAGAAATGGAAATTTAAATTAACTAATCTCATTGCTGCCACCGAATATAATTTTTCTCACTGCATCATGTCTTTGGAGAAGGGTAAAGAAGAGTGTAGATAGGAAGATTATTGTTGCAATATCTTAGATCAGCCTCTATATATTTTAGTCTCCTGGCTGGTTGGTAATGACTTTTCAAGCTTGCAGTCATGTGCATGTAAATGAAATGATAACGGGATATATATATATTTTTTTTACATACGGATGGTAAGTGTACATGCTGATATATTCATGTGCTTGTGTATGTGTGCATGTTTGTAAGTTTGTATATGTGCGCGTGTGTGCATGCCTGTAACTGAACCTCCTCACCTTGGGTGAAGGAGCTGCGTGCACAGATGGTACAGAGCAGTGGGATAAGTAGACGATATATATCATGTCTCTCACAGGAGCTACGTGCATTGACGGTAGAGAGCAGCGGGGGAGTAGACGTTATCTACCACGTGTCCCATTTTACCTGGGCTACCCCGGGTTTCAACTTCACCCTGGAGTACTCCTTCTTCCCAGCCACCATCTGCGGACCCACCTACTACAAGACGTTGGCAGGTGAGTCACCCACTTGGTACCCCCCCCCCCCCATTCCTTGCATCAAGACTCTGAAAACCCACAACCTTTTACAAACATACATAACACTGGAAAGCAAAAAATATCTAATGTCAGTTTAGTTTTGGATCAGCCATATGATGAATATTTAATAGAGCGGTAAAAAAAATATATAGCACGTACAATAAATGGAAACTATTTAACATCACCAGGTTTCCCCTACATGAGTCTTTATCAAATACTTCATAAAATCTCTTGTAGGTGACACCTGGTAACAATAAAAGGTCTTGTTTCGCTGTACGTGCCTTTTACCACCAGTTTTCTATTTACAGTTAAACTATATTCAGTCCGTTGAGCTGCTTTAACAGAACCACAGGAATTATACTGAAATAGGATTGAGCATATTGCCTTTACTTACATTGAAATTATGTGTATGTATATACACATATGCATACACAAGTTTATTCTTTTCTCTGAGGATGAGGCTTCCCAGGGCAGTTCTAGAGGTGGCACCTCCCTATAATTATATATATATATATATATATATATATATATATATATATATATATATATATATATATATATATATATATATATAATGGAGGCCTGAAGCATCATACTGCCTCGGAGGTAAACAAGAAGGTGAGTCTAACAAAGACAACGACCTCTGGGTAAACATCACATTAAGACCTGACAGTGTTAGCAAGCGTAATGACGGCCTCCAGGGACGTGTATAAGGAGCTATTTAAGATGTTATTCACTGCACGTTGTCAGTCATCGATTACGTAGTGCTAGAGTGAAGACCCACACTTGAACAAGCACATAAAAACGAATGAAAAGGCTCAGAAATTTTACACTGGACTCGTCCCGGAATTTGATGTTCACGAACTAAAAGGTAACACTAAAACAAAAAGATAACACGGCTTTTTAGAATGCTGCACCTTGAAGAGAGACGATCGTAACATTAAGGAAAATCAAGAGTATGGAAAGGGTGAAAAAGTAAAGAGTATTTGACACTGGGGAAAACAGAAGAATGTGACTCTGTGTGAAATGTTACTTGTAAATCAACCGTAGAGATGGAACAAAACACACACACACACACACTAAGGGGTATGTCCTACGAGGAGAGGTTAAGGGAAACCAACCTGACGACACTAGAGGACAGGAGAGATAGGGGAGATGTGATAACAACATATAAAATACTGAGAGGAATTGACAAGGTGGACAGAGACAGGATGTTCCAGAGATGGGACACAGCAACAAGGGGACACAGTTGGAAGTTGAAGACTCAGATGAATCACAGGGATGTAAGGAAGTATTTCTTCAGTCACAGAGTTCTCAGGAAGTTAAATAGTCTGGGAAGTGATGTAGTGGAGGCAAAATCCATACATAGCTTTAAGAAGAGGTATGATAGAGCTCATGGAGTAGGTAGAGTGACCTAGTAGCGACTAGTGAAGAGGTGGGGCCAGGAGCTGTGAATCGACCTCTGCAACGACAACTAGGTGAGTACAACTTGGTGAGCACACAGAAACACACACACACACACACACACACACACACACACACACATACACACACACACACACACACACACACACACACACACACACACACACACACACACACACAGGCTACTACCAAATATGTCTACCTTTACAAGTAACAGCAATACATTTTTTCTCTTAAAAATTAACCCTTGGTCTATAATAAATTTCTAAAACACACATTGCTGTCGGAGATTACAGAAGTGACATCAGTGTGTTAAGCTAAGTGTAATGTCGTGGCAGGTGAGGTGGGACCCCGGGGATACACGGCTCCTACCACTACCTATCTCTACGTCACCTGTAACTGGGTCATCAACAGCCAGCCGGCCGCTGCCCTCGCCATTACAGTTACCCCGCCTAAACATGGTAGGTGTGTGAGTAAACAAGCTGCACTCATCGGGTTATGTTTGCAGCGGTCATTGCATAACTCCTGATCCCGCCTTTTCAACCGGCCTAACTTACTCCTGATATCTAGGGACGTTCACATCTAGCTTTTAATTTTTAAACTCTGCATAGTATTTTCCATCACCTTTTCATTCCTGTGCGTTGCTCCCACTCTTCACGTTAATAAGTATGATAGTATTCTTAATAACGTTCCTATGGCTCATTTGTCTCTGATAATCATTTGTGTCCCCCGTCTTGCTCTCTCTGCATCTTAAACGGCCCGTTCCTTTTCATTCTAATCCTCTGAGTATTTTGTATGTAATGATAACATTCCCGTAGTGCTTCTCTCTTCTAGTGCTTTTAGAGTGACTTACTTCTCACAGTCCATCTTCTCAGGAGTAAGTTACTGGCTGCAAGTGTCAGTCTCATTGCAAACCTTAGGCTCTATTAAGTGCTTAATTAGGTGAGGGATCCCTACTGGTCCACATACTCAAGGATGAATCAAACGTACGTTGTGCATCACATTACAAGGAAATCCTTGTTCAGGTTGGTGAGTTATTTCCGATTTTCAAACGTACTTGTCGATAGACACTGGCCTATTTTTGTGAGAGTGTGCATACACACCTAATTGTGGTTGCAGGGGTCGAAGCTCAGCTCCTGGCTCCGCCTCTCTGCTGGCCGCTACTTGTTTCATTCTCTCCTGGTTGAGGGAGCTCTATCATACCTATTCTGAAAGCTATTTATAGATTTTATGTTTACTGAGTATTGTTTGCTGGGGTCATGTCTCAGCTCCTGGTCCCGCCTCTTAATCTACAATCTCCAGCATTATTAGTTCCTAGTCTTACCGACACTACCCTTTTTGCTTATAAATTAAAAGAAATCTGGGGATATTAATCATAAATGAGAAAAAAATTATATTTGACTACAGGAAGGTAAATTAGCAAACATGGCTGATGACCTTTATTTAAAGAGGTGACAGTTCTTGTATAATTATTGTATAATACTGGAAAAAAGAACTAGAGTGAAGTGGATTTAGCATTTAGAGAATAATAACATACTAACTGGTAGACAATTTGGGTTTCGGTTTGCACATTCATGTAAATAAAATCTGATAAGTCACTATGGCTGAGTTACAGAAATTGTTAAGGAAAGAAATAGATGGGATAAATGTATTCACCTAGACCTTAAAAAAGTTTTGACGAGTTCCCCATGAAAGACTAATTTGGAAGCTGCTAAATTATACGAGGAATTGCAGGTAATTATTACAACGGATGAGTTTTTTTCTTTTTGTAGAGGAAAATTGGAACAGTTATAAGAGGAAAAATGTCTGCATTGTGGGACGTCACAACTGAGGTGTTACAAGGATCTGTACTTGTCCCAATAATGTTTCTATTTTATATAAATTATTCACCAGAAGGAATAAAAAATATGAATATGTTAACAGAATATGCAAAAATCTTACGTAAATGTAATAATGAAAATGTAAAAACCTTGAAAGAGGATCTGGATACACTGAACACATGGAGTGATGGATGATGTAATTTTTATTTGGATAAATGCCATGTAATGGAAATTGGAGAAAGTGAAATCATGCTACATGAGCAGTATAGTTTGAGTGGAACAATATTTATCAGACAGAGAAATGGATCCAAGAGTTATTACTAACAAAAATTTGACACACGAAAGATGATACAAATGAACCTGTGAGAAACTCATATACTTCACTGACAAACTGTAAAATCCTTTTCATATATATTGACTGTGAAATGTTACGAAAGTTTTTTATAACCTACATATATTGGGCCGAAATTAAAGAATGGCGCAGTTGTGTGGTGCCCACATCTAAAAAAAAAAAAAAAAAGGAGGCAAGTTAGAAAAAGTTCAGATTAGAGATACGAAATAACTACCAGAGTTGAGCAATATGAACCATGATAAAAAGTTGAAAACATTAAAGTTACCCATGTTGACTGGTTGGTGGATAGAGGAGACAGGACAACAATATATAAGGTCTTGAAAGAATTTTAATGAGCACAAAAATATTTCTTAGTAGCTACAACAGCGATAACAAGAAGCCACAGTTACAAATTGAGTAAAAATGGAGTGTAAAGGACAGTAGAAGCTTTTTCTTCTCAAACAGAAGAGTGGAATGCATTACACGAAAAAATAATAAGTACTGCAAACATTGGAAATATATATATATATATATATATATATATATATATATATATATATGTGTGTGTGTGTGTGTGTGTGTGTGTGTGTGTGTGTGTGTGGCTCGAGTTACAGCTCCTGGCCCCGCCTCTTCACCTGGCCGCTACCCGGTCACTCTTTCCGCTCCGTGAGCTTTATCATACCTCTTCTTAAAGCTATGTATGGATCCTGCCTCCACTACATCACTACCCAGGCTACCCACTTCCTGACAACTCTGTGACTGAAGAAATACTTCCTAACATCCCTGTGGTTCATCTGAGTCTTCAGCTTCCAACTGTGACCCTTCGTTGCTGTGTCCCATCTCTGGAACATCCTGTCTGTGTCCACCTTGTCTATACCTCTCAGTATTTTATGTCGTTATCATATCCCCCCCCCAACTCTCCTGTCTTCCAGTGTCGTCAGGTCGATTTCCCTTAACCTCTTCTCGTAGTACACACCCCTTAGCTCCAGGACTAGTCTTGTTGCAAACCTTTGCACTTTCTCTAGTTTCCTTACACACTTGGCTAGGTGAGGGTTCCAAACTGGCGCTGCATATTCCAACATGGGCCTAACGTACACAGTGTACAGGGTCCTGAATGATTCCTTATTTAGATGTCGAAATTGTTACAACTGCTGGCCTTATGTCGTAACAATAAGGAAATAATGACTTTTGAGGCTTCTTTCAGATCTTTATCTAATACGTATATTAAGTCCCTTGTCGTGTCTAGTAATCAGGTTAAAAATAAAATCGCATACTCTCGGGGCTGCTATGTGACACCTAGTGACACTTCACATAAAAGAACATAATTCTATGTTAAGTTCTTATAAATTATTAAATAGCTACACCACAAATAATTTATCAATATAACAATCTTGTATGGAAAGGCAACCTATTTAGTTATTTTCGAGAGAATCTCCAGGGATTACTTAAGCTAGCAATCTCTCCAATAGTTAATCGTCTCATACCAGAGACTTTGAAGTCTATAGAAAAGCAAGAATATAACTGAGCACTAAAGGGGCTATGCGCTCTGGGTTGAGGACTATTACAACCTAGGTTTTCAAATGGCCTGTTATCCCAGGTGTAATGGGAGCAAATAAACACAGTAGAAAAAGTTTAGACTTATATTATCCTTCACCAATTATAACAGCAATATGTACACTATGTACAGTGATAAATATAGTGCACTCCACGGTAAGCAAGGCAGAAATAGAAGCCACAAGATAGCAGACCGTGCTTCAACCAGCTCTAGAGTGGGAATGACAAGGGCAGACAGGAGAGCGGTATCCACATAACCTCTGCGATTGTCAATCCCACCTTCTTATTGGCTAGAACCTGGTCACTAGTTGAACGATGGGGCCCCATCATCAACTCTTAGCAACCTGGTTCGCTGGTTGGGGGAGATAGCCTGTAAATGAGGGTGTGTCCATGCGCCGAATAAAGGTTACGTACTCTTTGCATGCCACAAGGACCTACTCAGAGTCAGTGCTGTGAACGTACTCTGAGTGAGTGTGTGAAACTACTCAGAGTACTGTGAACCTACTGGCTGTACCAGTGAGCGGTAAGCTGACGTCAGGTTGGTCACGTGACTTTGAGAGACAGGTCAGTACCTGAACTAGTAACTGGCGCTCCAACTAGTAGTTTCCCACTACATGAAAATCACACTATTATGAACGCTTAACAATATAATATAACAATATTAGCATTAACACACACACATATATATATATATATATATATATATATATATATATATATATATATATATATATATATATATATATATATATATATATAAAAATATATAAGAAATATCCTAGTATAAAATATGTCGGGTATGGCCATACTCGTAACAGGAATGCTGTTCTTAGGTTTGCCAGGCACCCGTATGCTGCAGCAGTTATTTGGTTGATGTGCGCTTCAGGAGATGTGCCCGGTGTTCTACTCACACCAAGATCCTTTTCCTTGAGTGAGGTTTGTAGGCTCTGGCCCCCTAGACTGTACTCCGTCTGTAGTCTTCTTTGCCCTTTCCCAATCTGCATGACTTTGTACTTGGTGGGGTTGAACTCCAGGAGCCAGTTTCTGGACCATGCCTGCAGTCTGTCCAGATCCCTCTGTAGTTTTCCCTGGTCCTCGTCCGATTGAATTCTTCTCATCAACTTCACATCATCTGCAAACAGGGGCACTTCGGAGTCTATTTCTTCCGTCATGTCGTTCACGTGTGTCATGTGTGTCATGTGTGTGTGTGTGTGTGTGTGTGTGTGTGTGTGTGTGTGTGTGATGAACAGAGTATTGGAGACTAGACACAAATAGGTAATTACACGCACACACACACACACACACACACACACACACACACACACACACACACACACACACACACACACACACACACACACACAATTAGGTGAGTACACAGAGGGGACCAGAAGTGCTGAAAGTTTAGGAAGTTGAAGGTGGTTATGCGAAAATTCATGTGTCAGAATATCAAGGATATCACCAAAGAGGAGGAGATGAACCAGTAAGACTGGACCTTGTATTCACCCTAAATGACTCTGACATACGACGCATAAAATACGTGAGTTAGCGATGACACAGTATTTAGTTTTGAATACTTTGTGGAAACGAACCTGGAGAGAAGCAATACGCGAGAAAGAAGAGGGGAACCCGACTTAAGAAGGAAAGTACGCAGGTAGCATGAGATAAGTTTTGAATGCAGTGCAGTGATAAAGGGAACTAGATGGAAAAATAAATGAAATGATGGAGTGTTGCTGGAAAGTACCTGCAGGGAAAGGTGAAATTCACATCCAAAAGCGGAGGCGAGGAAAAGAATAGGGAGAACCCATGGGTCACCAGGAGCTTCAAAGAGCCAATAACTAAAGTGCAAGAGTGTGAGAAAAGATAGAAATCAAAGAATGCAGGAGAACAAGGAAGTGGGCGGAAGAGAAAGAACCGAATATACATGGATAAGAAGAGAGATTGAACGACAGTTTGAGAATAACATTGTACTTAACACCAGAGTTGGAATACAGCCACAAAATAAGGAAGCCACAAGATAAAGAAGACCAGGTAATAAGGCTGAAGAAGAGGCTGGAAAACTTACGAGTAATAACCAGGAAATCTGCTAGGAGTTGAAAAAAAATATTAAGGAGACATTCTCAGAGAAAACAAAGACTTTACTGAAATCTAAAAAGAAAGGTGGGCCATGAGTACTGGGGAGGTGAAGAAGCTACTCAGAAAGGTAGATACCTCGAAGGCAATGTGACCAGATAGCATTTCTCCGTGGGCTCTGAGAGGAGCAGTTGTCATGTATCAAGTCAACTGTCACAGGGCAACTACCTCAGGTGGGGAAAATGGCAGATGTTGTCCAGATATTTAAGAAACGGTAGCATTCAACTACAGACAAGTGTCAATGGCTATGGAGAACGTTATGAGAAGAGTAGTGGAGCACCTGGAAAGAAACAAGTTCATAACTAACAGCCAACATGGTTTTAGAGATGTTAAGTCCTGTCTCACAAATCTGCCAGAGTTCTATGACAAAGTAATGAAAGTAAGGCAAGAGCAAGAGAGAGAGAGAGAGAGGGCTGGAGGGAAGGAGGGAGGGAGCTAGAAGAGCAGTCAGGAATAACGAGGAAGGCAATAGCGGTTCAAGAAACAACAGGAAGGCAACAACGAGTTAATTTTCTATGAAGAGATGTCGGAATGAGCAACAGTCACCAGTAGGGGGTTCACAAGTGTCGGAGCCAGACAGAAGGAACTGAGCCAGATGTATTCCTGCTCGCACGTGACGTGAAGCTAACGAGAAAATAAACTGAAGCAGATTCAAAAAAGTATTATAAACGGATATGGACACGCTACAAGAGTGGTCTGACAGGAAGCTATTAGAATTAACCCCAGAAAATGCGGTTATGAAAATTGAGATAAAGGCAAAGGAAGCTGGAAGTAGATTACACAGGCTTGGGAGACAAAGGCTTCAAACCTGCCTCAAGAAAAAGGACCCGGGGGTAAGTATAATTTCGAGAAAATTACCTGAGGTACCCATCAACTGCAGAAAACGCGTATCTGGAAATTCTAAAATTAGCTTTCAGGAACCTGAAAAATGTGTCAAGACATAAGTCAAGCTCATCGTTGAGTACACAGCACCAGCATCAAACCCAAATCCGATTAAGTATGTCAAGAAGCTGGAAAAACTGCAGCTAAAGGAGCTACACCTGATGACAGAGGACAAAAGGACCCAGGATGATATAATAACGTGTAGTTAAAATCACAAGTGAATCACAGAATTGTTAGGAAATATTTCTTTAGGTTAGGAGTGGTCAGTGAGTGGAACGGCATAAACAGCGAAGTGGTATTAATATTATCATTATTATTATTATTATTATTATTATTATTATTATTATTATTATTATTATTATTATTATTATTATTATTATTATTATTATTATTATCATCATCATCATGGGGAGCGCTAAACCCATAGGGATTATACGGCGCCTGTGGAGGGGGGGGGATGGAAGGCATTTAGGCTCAGTTCGGGGAACTGGAGCACAGATCCAATTCCCTAGGAAAAGAGCCCCTCACCAGTATCAAGGAACCTCCGTTGAGGGGAGGATCCATGCACTGTTTTAAGAATAGGTATGATAGGGCTCATGCAGTCAGGAAAGGAAACCCAATATTGGCCAGCGAAGAGGCGGAGCTGTGAGCTGAGACTCGACCCCTGCAACCACATAGGGAATAACACACACACACACACACACACACACACACACACACACACACACACACACACACACGAGGTTTGAAAAAGCTCATGGAGCAAGGAGAGAGAGGTCCTAGTAGCGATCAGTGAAGAGGCAGGGCCAGGAGCTATGACTAGACCCTTGCAACCACAAATAGGTGAGTACACACACACACACACACAGGGCCAGGGATCAGACCCCTCAGGGCCAGTGATCACGTGGTTCTGAGTTTCGAATACATAGTAGAGTTACAAGCGGAGAAGGGAGCAGGAATGGCAGGATGAATGAAGCCAAACTACAAGAAAGGGGACTACACAGGCATGACAAATTTCCTACACGGGGTTCAGTGGGACAGAGAACTGGCAGGGAAGTCAGTAAACGAGATGATGGGATATATGACAACAATATGCAAAGAAGCTGAGGAGAGGTTTGTACCCAAGGGTAACAGAAATTACAAGAAAGCCAGGATGAGCCCTTGGTTCAGCCAAGGGTGTAGAGAGGCCAAAACCAAGTGTGCTCTTGAATGGAAGAAGTATAGAAGGCAAAGGACCCAGGAGAATAAGGAGAGCAGTCGTAGAGCCAGGAATGAATATGCACAGGTAAGAAGGGAGGCCCAACGACAATATGAAAATGACATAGCAGCGAAAGCCAAATCTGACCGGAAGCTGTTGTAAAGCCACATCAGGAGGAAAACAGCAGTCAAGGACCAGGTAATCAGGCTGAGGAAGGCTCACAAGAAACGACCGCGAAGTAAGTGAGGAGCTCAACATGAGATTCAAAGAAGTGTTCACAGAAAAGACGGAGAGGTGGGGTATACCATCAAGTGGTAGACACAGTACATGCAACTGAGGAAGAAGTGAAGAGGCTGCTAAGCAAGCTAGATGCCTCAAAACCGATGGGGCTGGATAACATCTCTCCATGGTTCATGAGAGAGGGAGCAGAGGCGCTATATGTACCACTAACAACAATCTTCAACACATCTATCGAAAAAGGGCGACTACCTGAGGTATGGAAGACAACAAATGTAGTCCCAATTTTTAAAAAAGGAGACAGACAAGAAGCATTAAATTACAGACCAGTGTCACTGACATGCATAGTATGTAAAGTCATGGAGAAGATTATCAGGAGAAGAGTGGTGGAGCACCTAAAAAGGAATGAGCTTATCAACGACAGCCAGCACGGTTTCAAGGACGGGAAATCCCGTGTCACAAACCTGCTGGAATTCTATGACAGGGTGATGGCAGTAAGAAAATAGAGAGAGGGGTGGGTA